TGGCACAGTGGTTGAGCGCTGGGTTGTGAAGCTGCCCGCAGCTTCTGCAGGGCCGGTTCGATCCCCGGCTGCTCCCTGGCCACCAGAGGAGGGTCCCACATGGCTCGCAGACCTCTCCTGCCACCCGCTGCTCCCCTCAGCAGTGTACTTCTGTCCTTCTACCTGCTCTGCTCCCCGTTCTGGCTCTGGTGAATTCTCTCACCCTCCCGTGCTTCTGACTGTACCCAGTGCTTGTATAAATAAATAAATAAAAATCTTAAAAAAAAAATCAAAGGAACAAAATACAGTACTTACTAACAATGCGAAGAGGAAATAAAATCATAAATTGTGAAACAAAACCACAATTAGTCCAAATTAAATTAAAGTATTAAAGAATGCAATTCTTGAAGATTCCCCATTGTATTGACTTTTGTGCCAGATTAACCAATGTATCTGAAAATCTGACTCTCCCAAGGGGATACTAAATGTATGAATTATGCAGCCCCTGCCCCCCACAATGCCTTGGTCCCTTTTTGCCTTGTTACTAATTATTAGTTTCTGTCTCCTGTGGTTTGTTTGAATGATAAAAAGTCCACAAGCATGGAGGAAGTTAACTTATTTTTGGCATAATTTACAAGACTTCATACCAAGCCAATGACTACAGCATTCATCCAAAAATCCTCAAAAAGGTGTAATAACCCAGGACAGAACCATCAGCTTTATCCTTCACCTTGCCTCAAGTCTGCTTAGCTACTATCTTTTCAACCAATTGAGATGTCCCTTTTCAAAGCAATAGCTCCTCTGGTAGCACATGAACTATTTGCATTGTGCCATATATCATGCTTCACAAATTTTAATGTGCACCAAATCACCTAGAGATTTTGGTACAGTGCAGATTCTGACTAACAATGAGGCTATGCTACATTTCCAATTAACTCCCAGATAATGCCAATGAAAATCCAGGGTCTAGGGCCTCCCCGGTGGCGCAGCGGTTGAGCGCTGGGTTGCGAAGCTGCCTGCAGCCTCTGCAGAGCCAGTTCGATCCCCGGCTGCAGCGCCGGTTCGATCCCCGGCTGCTCCCCGGCCACCAGAGAAGGGTCCCACGTGGCGCGCAGACCTCTCCTGTCGCCCGCTGCTCCCCTCAGCAGTGTACTTCGGTCCTTCTGCCTGCTCTGCTCCCCACTCTGGCTCTGGTGAACTCTCTCACCCTCCCAAGCTTCTGACTGTACCCAGTGCTTGTATAAATAAATAAAAATAAATCTTAAAAAAAAAAAAAAAGAAAATCCAGGGACTAGCCTTTGAGCCTTGAGGTCTAGCACAATCAAATCCTTGGTAACTTAAGTTAAATTGCAATTGTATTGCAAATGATTCATTGGGTAAAAGCACTTAGACAGATTTTACCAGCACTCCATTTTTTTTTAACATGTTTACATTAGCACTAAACAACAAATTTATCACAGTTCCAATGTCTAAAGTAAAATTGACCAGGGAGAGAGTACCAGATTTTAAACAACTGAAGAAATACTTTTAAGAATTGAAAACAGGATGCCATTGCCTAAACTGGTTATTTATTTTAGATACTGATTCTCCCAAACTTAGTTTCTCCAAAAGCAGGTCGAAAAGGGGGAAGTTAATACAGAAGAAATCTAGTGATTCCATGCGATAGCAACAACAACAAAAAAAAAGACCTTTAGTCTTTCTGACAGTAAAACAAAGCCTCTCAAATACCAGTCTTCTAGAGAATCTCAACCAAGAAAGCATAATAATTTCCAAACTAGTAACATAGAATAGTGACTTGGTTTCCCTGTAGTCTCAGTGGCTCAGGGACTTTATCATGCAATGGTTTAAATGTTCCAACACTTCAATCATCAGAGTGGTCTGGATTTAGCACATAAAATAACATCCACTTTCAGCTTTTCTAACTCGACTAAAAATTTGTCTTATTGCAACATATATTGAAAGTTTACTGTGTACTAAACACTTAACAGTCACTATCCCAACCCTCGGAGATAAACAGTATTGCTATTCAACTTTAAAATTATAAAAATGAGATTAGACAGAGTAAATATGCCCATACTTTCAAAATTAAAGGGGCAGTACTAGACCTTTCTCGTAACTATTGCTAAAAATATAGATATTTGACAAAGGCTTTACTTGTGTTTGTTTCCTGAGCTGACCTTCTCCTTATTCATTTCTCCCACAGCTTCAACAATTTAATTATACCTGGTTAAGACTGATTAAACATGGAGAATGGTGCCTAGCTCCCATTCCTGATAAGGGGGCCCTGAGGCTGCACCCTTGTGATAACAGAAACAAAGGACTAAAGTGGTTGCATAAATCAACATCAGTCTTTCATCCAGAACTGGTAAGCAAAATATTTTTACCTCTTCTTTACCACAAATCCAACTTTCAATTTAATGGGACATAAAACCCTCACTGTCAGCTTCCTCAGTCAGAAGCTTTAAATGTATTGTGACAATAGAGTCAGTGTAAAAGTTCACACAGAGAGAGATAAATGGATATTTTTGTAAACCGTCAAGTCCTTTTTGTTCTTCAACATTTTTTTTTTTTCAAATCAGTTATTTTAAATAGAAGTAACCTGATTCTTTTGGTTATATTGCTCTCATTATCTGCTTATAAAAATCATTTCCTTGAGTCCGCTAACATGCCAAAATGAAGGCTTATTAGGCAAAAATTGGTTCTTATTGATCACCAGGAAAGCTTATAGAGAAAATATGCAAGCAAAGAAAGAAGCAGTGTGCTTCCCTCAAGCCGTGTAATTTAGTATGAATCTGGTTTCTCATTCTCTGCCTCCTTGCCATATAAGAAATTTCTCATACCTTCCAGTTCCCAGAGACTTGGGTTTCAGGGGATACTAGATTCAGCTCCCACTATGCAGCTCCTGCTGACTTCACATTCAGTGATAACACATCGGTGGCTTGTCACCCAGCCACCAGGGGAGTATGTACAGCTATGCTACACACCACGGCATGTTTTTCCAGAAGTCTAGTTGTTCATGTTTACCATCATACCACTGCTCTACTCAATTCACTTTCAAAGTCTTTTGAGAAAAATTTAAATCTATTTTAACAACATACAGTCACAAGGGCCTCCCCATGGCGCAGCGGTTGAAAGCTGGGTTGCGAAGCTGCCCGCAGCCTCTGCAGCGCCGGTTCGATCCCCAGCTGCTCCCCGGCCACCAGAGGAGGGTCCCACATGGCGTGCAGACCTCTCCTGCTGCCCACTGCTCCCCTCAGCAGTGTGCTTCAGCCCTTCTGCCTGCTCTGCTCCCCGCTCTGGCTCTGCTGAATTCTCTCACCCTCCCGTGCTTCTGACTGTAACCCCAGTGCTTGTATAAATAAATAAATAAATCTTTAAAAAAAAAAAAAACATACAGTCACAAGCTTTGGCCCAGGATCTTGGAGTGGTAAGAATAATTTCAGGACAACTTCAAATTTTCTACCTCGCTAGCAAGTTCCTACCAAATCCACTGAATGAGTTGGGTCTATGGGTAGCACCATTTTGCTCAAGGTTGACCCCAAGGTAAGCATTCTTTCCCTTGGAGTGCCTCCTTTCCCTCTGATGTCACAGCCAGTGACTAGTCTCTTCACAAATTTTTCTTCCTGCTCAGAGTCAAAATCAGGGTCTCCAATGTTTTTGCCTTACAATCTTTTCTGCTACATTTCAGTTCATTCTGGACTTTTTTTTCCTCTTTAGTGCTAACAAATATTATTGAGCTATTCAGAAAAAAATAGGCATTACTAGTGTATAAGTTGTGAATTTTATGTTGCATTAGTGTTGGGAAAATCCACAAATTGCTATAAACAAATAGCAAAATAACATCTTCTGCTTGATTCACAATATGGGGCAAGAAAAGCGAAAAAGAGCTTTGAGAGATAGAGATAAAGAGACTATATGAGAATGAATGAGATAATGTGAATAATTCTCATCTCCAGAAATGAACCTGTTACTATAACAGGTTTCAGGCTGGTGAGAAAATATATCGGAGCAGGCAGTCCTAAAATCACATAGGTCTTGGGCCTCCCCGGTGGCGCAGCGGTTGAGCGCTGGGTTGCGAAGCTGCCCGCGGCCTCTGCGGCGCTGGTTCGATCCCCGGCTGCTCCCCGGCCACTGGAGGAGGGTCCCACATGGCCCGCAGACCTCTCCTGCCGCCCGCTGCTCCCCTCAGCAGTGTATTTCGTCAGTCTGGCTGTTCTGTTCCCCGCTCTGGCTCTGGTGAATTCTCTCACCCTCCCGCGCTTCTGACTGTACCCAGTGCATGTATAAACAAAACAAACAAACAAATAAATAAATAAATAAAGCATGCCTCTATAAAAAAAAATAAAATAAAATAAAAAAATCACATAGGTCTTACTTACAATCTGGGTGTTGAGTTATCGCCATTGTTGAGAACTTTAGTTTTCATCAACTGATTTTTATATGGGTCCAATTTGGGTACCCCTAAATGGCAGGCTGATTTGTAAAGAATGTAATTTAATTTAGATGACAAAGGTTAGAAAGCTGTCCTCTTACTTGGTGCGTGATTTTGCAACAGGTTAAGTAGCTTACCTTCTGCTTGAACTCCCCATTCCTAGAGAAGATAGCTTAACAATTGCCTTTCTACTTTTTTCAATTTATCATCAGTTTTCAAACTAAACCTAAAAATCCCTCAACACACCTCAGTGTTAAAAAAAAAAAAAAAAAGGGAAAGGAAGAATAAGCCTATGAACTTATAAGCATGTCTCTCCTTTTAGGAAGCATCTGGAGTTGGAAACTTCAAGGAAGGAGGAGGGGTAAATGTAAGAAACAGAATACCTATGAGTTAATCAAACTATACATTTCTAATTGCGCATCCGAAAGCCGAAAGGCGTTTCCTAGGTCAGCCCTCCCCAAATGCTCTGATTGCAGCCCCCGAAATGGATACAGTCTAGAAAGTGACTTCTGGGCTCTGGGCCGGGGAATTCCCTCCACCGCTAGCTCCCCTTTAGTGTCTTTAAATCCGAGTCAAGTTACTGAGCTACCTCTTGATAATCCAGCGGCCGCTCACTGCCCACAACACACAAAGTGGTTGTTCTGGTGGTTCTGCTGCAAACATCTCCACAAGCTGTTTCACGGTGACTATTTCCGCGCCACAAACGTAATTAGCCGTAAAGCAATTTTGCCGTAAAAGAGAAAAGAACAAAAGTCAGAGAATAACGTTCAAAACATTGTCGTGAAAGAGGACGTCTTCTGAATACGTGTGTGTGGAGTCGTGGCAGTATCATCGAAAGAGATAATTTGCTTTTGTGATGATGAATAGGGGGGAAACAGCGCAAGTTTCAAAATGACATCATGAAACGTGTAAAAAGAGTAACAAAAACCATAAGACAAAATACACACTGTGAAAATACATTGTAAAAACAAAAAAATATAAGATATTAGAATACATTGGAATGTGAGTAGATTCATGGCAACGCCGTGCAAAAATACTGATTTTCTCTGTGGGTTGTGTGTAAGCACTTGTGCCCCCAAGTCTTTACTTTGCTTGGAGGGGTGTGTGTGTGTGTGTGTGTGTGTGTGTGTGTGTGTTTTGACCAAGATTACGAAGTATATAGTCAGATCATATAGTGCTAAAATAGATGACAATAACACACCCGTTTGCAAAGAGTTAACTTCTTATTTCCTCAATGGAAAAATGAAACCAAACTCAACCAGTTAGTTGTTTTCTCTCACATTTCAAAATTACTTTATTGCTAAATAGTAGTTATGCTGCTTATACATTTGCAGTCAAAATGCTTGCAGTAAAAAAACAGCAGCTGATTTTGTTTAAAACCAGCCCTTTTACAGAACCTCATACCTACTCATGTGGTCTATTTCCAAAGTCCTACAATGGTGACTGTTTGTAGAAGCATCTTTAAAATTAATTATAATGAATTCACCCATATTTGGTAAGTTTTAAAAGTATTTCAAAACAAAAATGTACAGTTTAGAGTATCATAGTCACAATAACTGAGATGATTGAGAAGTGAAAAAAATATGAAGCCATGAGCAAGTTAAAGTGTTTTATCAATCATTTCTTGACTATACAATAAATATTAATAATAGAACCCTTTGAAATGCCTTTGACTTTTTCCTAATTACTTCTGAATTTCCTGGACATCAGGCATTACATATTATCAAAGATTATTATAGGGAGTCATGAATAACATACATCATTTAGCACTTTGTATTTCAGTTTTGCACTTTTAGACTGAACTTAAGAAATTAACTAACTTACTTGTTTGTGATGGTAGTTATCAGATATATCATCAAAAACTTCATTTTACGTTTCCTGAGGAATTAAAAGCTACGTAATTTTCAGAAGGGTGAGAATATAAACTGAGATAGGAGATAGAGACAAACTGAATTCTGTCATGTTTAAGAATGGAAAATATAATTACTTATAGTTTCTTTTTTTTAATACCTCAGTTGTTAAATTCAATCTGTGGTTCATTCCCAAATCCCTTCTCTCTCCAGGTTAATCACATTGTTTTTGGAAACTATCATCAGTTGTTATGCTTGGAAGGAAATTTTTCTGAGAAGACCCTGAGAGTTGCTACTTGTGACCCAATAAAACCTAATCAAATGTGGAAATTTGAAAATTATTATGAAGCTTGAAGAGGAGTTGATTTTTTTTTTTTAATCTAGTAAACTCATTAGATACTTAAAATGACAGTGAAGTCGGTGACTGTATTTCTCTATGGTGGGTTAAATTTTCAAAACTAATAGCATTTGAATGGAAGGGTTTTCTTTGTTTTTTGGTTTTTTTTTTAAATCACAATATTTGAGATACCACATGTTAACTCAGGGAAATAGTCCAACATTAAATTGAAGTCCTTCTTCTGCACTTTGGTGGCCTTCTGAATTGCCCTCCTGCCATGTGCTGGAACTCAACCTCTAAGTTTCCCCATACAATCTAACAGAGTAGTTGCAGAAACACAGTGACATTAACATTCAATGTATTTGATAATGACCAGTCTTTTGGCCCACAAGTGGGTACAATCAATGAAAACCTACTCCTTTAATTGCCATTTTATCATCAAAAAAGAAATTGAGTTCCTACTGTTAAAAGACTTCAGAAACACACAGCTACTACCTTGGTGAAGTCCCTCCAGACAACACGCATGTTTATCTAACAGTTTGAAACCATTGACTTAAGACTCCTTTGTGGCAGCGTTTTGATACAGATTACTGCATAATGTTTTTTCCTCAGTTGGAAGCAGTAGAAAAAATTTAAGTGAGGAAGACAAATACTTATTCTAGATATGGAAGTTGATTCAATTTAATTGGGGCATTTTTAATTATGATTAAAAAATATTATGCCAGTAGCTCCCCAGACCTAAGCAAATACTTAAAAAGAAAGAAAAGGCAGGGAAGAAGAGGCTGGGTCACAACACACTGTAGTAACCAAAAATACCTTTAATTGTTGAACACACTCTAATGTAGGACCAAATAAGAAGAATTAAAACAAATAAAACAGAAATAGAGCACTGAAAAATATTTAGATTCTTACATATAAGATACTACTTTTCATTTAATAGCATTCAAAGGGATGAAGTTTGCTAAAAATCAGCTCTAAAAGATTCCAAAGTAGAAATAAAGGACATAATGAAGGGAAGACAATGTGTCTTCTAAGCAACCCTTAGAGAGTTAAGAAAGTATTGCCCTAGACTTAGTCAAAACAGAAAGAGCTGGCCCCTCTATGGGGGTGGGAAGAGAAATAAGGGAATAAAACCCTACATGTGGGGCTTCCCTGGTGGCGCAAGGGGTTAAGCACAGCACTATGAAGCAATACGCAGCCACTGTAGCACGAGTTCGATCCCAGGCCAGGGAGCAATCCACATGAAGCAGCAGACCTCTCCTGTCTCACCAGCTCCTCCCCTCACCAGTGTATTTCAGTAAGTCTGCCTGTTCTGCTCCCCACTCTGTCTCTGGTGAATCCTCTCACCCCCTGTACCTCTGGCCTGTACCCCAGCTTTTGTATGTATAAATAAATAAATCTTTAAAAAAATTGGGATCAAGTCCAATATTTCCTTGATCCAAACTGAGCCCCTAATCTTAGGTATGCCAGTAGCTGGGCACACCAGGTGAGATGATAGAAATCATTATATTATTTACATCATTTTTGGTAAGAAAATTGATGCCCGGAAGATGAATTACCTGTCTAAAACCCCACATCAGTTAGTGAAAGAATCAGGATTAGAAATTGGATCTCCAGAGAGAGAACTCAGATCACTGGTCTTAACAAATCTAACCCACAAAATTCCTAAGAAAGAAATACTAAATCATGGAAGATAACCATGCTATATGCTTGTTAATATTAAAAAACAACAAAAAAAAATAAACAGAAAAAAACCCACATTATTTCTGTTGAATTTATGAGCTGGTGGCAAAAAATGGGCATCTTTAGTTCTGACTTTCTATTTAAGATTTAATTTTAACTACCAATTAATTATACAAAATCAGAGATATACCTAAGAATAAGGTGAAATTTTGCGTATGTGCATTATATTTAAGATATTTTAGCCACATAATTGACATTGCCAATGAGATAAGAGAATGACTAGAAAATGAGGTCATTCTTTTGAAAACAGGGCTATCTGGGGTATAAAATACAAGTCAGTTGCCAAAGGACTAATTGAACTGCTGACAAAAGTAAATATGCTGAGGGCCTCCCCTGGTGGCGCAGCGGTTGAGCGCCGGGCTGCGAAGCTGCCCGCAGCCTCCGCAGCGCCGGTTCGATCCCCGGCCACGGGGTGAGGGTCCCACATGGCGCGCAGACCTCTCCTGCCGCCCACTGCTCCGCTCAGCAGTGTTTCATCGGTCTGCCTGTTCTGCTCCCCACTCTGGCTCTGGTGAATTCTCTCACCCTCCCGTGCTTCTAACTGTACCCAGTGCTTGTATAAATAAATAAATCAATCTTTAAAAAAAAAATAAATAAATAAATAAAAGGAACACGAAAAAAAAAAAAAAAGTAAATATGCTGAATGCCTTAGGCAATACTTCCTGTAACTGAAAAAGGCTTGAAGGTTTGTTGTTGTTGTTGTTTTTTCCCATTCTAAAGATAACTGTCTTTTTAATAATAAAAAAAAAAAACAGTTTTCACCAAATAGGTCAACTCTGATGAGAAAAAAGAGAAATTTTGTTTTGGATGTTCTTACATTTAGGTATAGCAGCTGAAGAAATTTGACTGTTTTTCTTAAAAGAAGCTTCTACAGCTCATTCAATATATATTCCTGACTTGACTTTGACATTTTTATTATAGGAAGCTATATTTGAATCTATATTGTCCATATAACAAAGGATTATTTGCATGCATAAACTATTTGTTCTTGGGTCAAATTTAAGAAGCAACTTTTACCATGTATTTGCTTAATTACTCTAAAGATATAAGGAAAACATCACTACTTAGGTAACTTGTGTGCCCGAATTCCGGCCTTGGTTTACCTTAGCCAATAAAAGGAAACAGTTTGAGGAGAAGGAAAGTAGTTTAATTTGTCGACAAAATGAGAATAACAGCAGACTCATGTCTGAAAGACCACCATCTTGCTCTTTGGCAGAGGGCAGGGTTATTTATCCAGATTTACAAGGGATTAGAAGGGGGGAAGTGGGCAAGAGTTAGCATGTTTCTCATTGTGATACTGCTACAGGGCAGGGAGAAGGGCACCCCAAACTCTGCAAACCTGCCTGCTCTAAATGGGTTCTGCTATCCGCCGCATCAACACAAAACATATGAGACTTTAATGAAAAGGAACTTTAATACAATTAGTAAACAATACAGGAAAGGCAAAGAATCTAGTTTCTAAATCAAGCACCCAAAGTTACGTCTCCTCGAGGGTAAAAGCGCATTTGGATTGGCCCAGAGCAAGGCCCAAAAACCTGCCATAAGTCTAAAGCACCTTCCAGCAGGAACCCATAGAAAAGGGTCAGAAACAGCCAGACAAGTCTAGAAGGAAAAGAGCAAAATCAAAACCAAGATAAAAGCTGCCATTTTTATCTTCCCCACAGGTCTCTCGCCCACATCTGTGTCACCCTGTCCACGACCAAAAGGCAAGCGCAGTTTTTTCACATGTCTCTCTGCTCCATGTGCCTCCCCCAGGTCTCCTTCTGGCT